CAAGTGACAAATATGCTGTTTTATTTATTCAGAGCATTGCGATGCTTCTCTGAGATATTAAAAAGTCAGGGGGGATAGAAGGGAACTGCTTTGGAGGCTGCAGTGTTGCTGCTACACCCCTCCCCCACTGGTTCTTTTCCAAATCATTTTCATTCTCTTTTTACTTGCAGTGGCAGGACTTCAGGGTTCAGAATTTCTCCTGCACCACCTACTGCATAACTCTGCACAGGAGCAAGTTGAGCTGCCTTTCCTGTGCTGCATTAGATGTTAGCCAACTCTGTTGAGGCGTGTAAAAATTAATAGGTCTAAAATGGCCTTTTGCATTAGTGGTTCAGGGGTTAGCCACAGCATTACCCTTCACCATGCTTTTTCCTTTTGTTTTTTGTAGTTTGGGAAGATAGGGTCCGGTCAAGACCAGTATTATCTTTTGATATATAAACCTGCTCTGTCTCTCTATTCTGTAGCCTAGGAAACCAGGTAAGTATGGAGTTGCTCTATTTTGTTATGTCTCTTGCTTATCTTCATTGGCTCTGCATAAGGCTATGTCTAGACTGCAGGCTTCTTTCGGAAGATTTTCCGAAAGAGATCTTCTGAAAAAACTTCTTCTGAAAGACAGCGTCTACACAACAAAAGCGCATTGAAAAAGCGATCTGCTTTTTCGAAAGATAGTGTCCACACTGAACGGACGCTATCTCGCATTTAAGCTGTGATTACTATGGATGGAGTGGCCACCAGGGCACCTGTGCTTTTTCCTCTTTCCTCTTCTTTCGAAAAAATTCCCTCTTCCCCATCCATACACACCTTTTTCCAAAAGAGCTCTTTCAGAAAAAGCCTTCTTCCTTGTAGAAAGAGATTTACCAATGTTGGAAAAACTCCTCTGTTCTTTTGATTTTTTTCCCAAAAGAACGTGATTACAGTGTAGACGTAAATGAAATTTTTTCAGAAAAACAGCAATTTTTCTGAAAAAACTCTACAGTGTAGACATACCCTAACATATCTTCAGGGTCAAATTCCTTGTGATCTCTGTAACTTGTTAGTTTGTAGTATAAAAGTGTTGATTCAATTAATATAAATAGTAATTAGGAGTGGGTATAATTGTATTAAGTAATTACTTATTAATATTCATTTTATGGGAGTTAACATTACTAAATAAAGTTTAGGAAAAGTAGTGATAGACATACAAAAACATACTAAAATAGATTCTAACTACTGCCAACTTGTTGCCATTCCAACATGGTGTTGAATGTCTGAAGTAAACGTGTAGACAATAAAGCAGTTCCTTTTACCCCATCTGCTACAAAAAAGAGCAGGTAAACGACGGGGTTTCAGCTGTCTGATTGGCTCACCCTTTGACTGCATGTAAAATTGAAAAAGATGTCCTGTTCCCTAACCGTAAGTGAAAGGAAGGTGATCACAGTCCATGGAATGTGCTTGTATCCTCTCTCTGACCCGGGAAGGTTACAAACCCCAGCTGAGAATCCCGATGGATAAAAAATGGAGACGGTGTCCCTTTCCAAGAGTCCTCATAGAATCATAGAATCATAGAACCATAGAGCTGGAAGAGACCTTAGAAGGACATCAAGTCCAGCCCCCTGCTCTAGGCAGGACCAATCCCAACTAAATCAACCCGGCCAGGGCTTTGTCAAGCCGAGACTTAAACACCTCTAGGGATGGCGACTCCACTACTTCCCTAGGTAACCCATTCCAGCGCTTCACCACCCTACTAGTGAAATAGTTTTTCCTAATATCCAACCTGGACCTCTCCTACCACAACTTGAGCCCATTGCTCCTTGTTCTGCCCCCTGTCACTACTGAGACCAGCCTCTCTCCATCTTCTTTGGAACCTCCCTTCAGGAAGTTAAAGGCTGCTATCAAATCCCCCCTCCCTCTTCGCTTCTGCAGACCAAACAGACCCAACTCCCTCAGCCTCTCCTCATAAGTCATATGCTCCAGCCCCCTAAACATTTTGGTTGCCTTCCGCTGGACCCTCTCCAATGCGTCCACATCCTTTTTATAGTGTGGGGCCCAGAACTGGACACAATACTCCAGATGGGGCCTCACCAATGCCGAATAAAGGGGAATAATGACGCCTCTGGATCTGCAGGCAGTGCTCCTCTTAATGCAATCTAATATGCCATTAGCCTTTTTGGCTACAAGGGCACACTGTTGACTCATGTCCAGCTTCTCATCCACTGTACCCCCCAGGCCTTTTCTGCAGACCTGCTACTTAACCAGTTGGTCCCCAGCCTGTACCAATGCTTGGGATTCTTCCATCCCAAGTGCAGGACTCTGCACTTGCCCTTGTTGAACCTCATCAGATTTCTTGTGGTCCAATCCTCCAATTTGTCTAAGTCACTCTGGACCCTATCCCTGCCCTCCAGCGTATCTACCTCTCCCCCTAGCTTTGTGTCATCCACAAACTTGCTGAGGGTGCAATCCATCCCCTCATCCAGCTCATTAATAAAGATATTGAACAAAACCGGTCCTAGAACCGAACCTTGGGGCACTCCGCTAGAAACCGACCACCATCCTGACATCAAGCCGTTGATCACTACCCCCTGGGCCCGGCCTTCTAGCCATCTTTCTATCCATCTATCCACCGTCCATTTATCCAATCCACATTCCCTTAACTTGCTGGCAAGAATATTGTGGGAGACCGTATCAAAAGTCTTGCTAAAGTCAAGGTAGATCACATCCACTGACTTCCCCATATCCACAGAGTCAGTTACCTCATCATAGAAGCTAATCAGATTGGTCAGGCACGACTTGCCCTTTGTGAATCCATGCTGACTATTCCTAATCACTTTCCTCTCTTCCAAGTGCTTTCAAATGGATTCCCTCCCTCCATGATTTTTCGAGGGACTGAGGAAAGACTGACCGGCCTAAAGTTCCCTGGATCATCCTTCTTCCCTTTCTTAAAGATGGGCACTACATCTTTAAAAAAAAAATTCTCACTCACAAACACAGGGGAAAAACAAAACAAAAGAAAAAAGCATACACAGCAACCCTCACTCACAAACACAAGCTCAGCACACAGTAAGAAAGCCCCAATAAGAACACACACTTCCCTCAAGAGTCCTGTATCTGCTTCTCCTTTACCTGAAGAATTCCCTCTCTGAACTCCTTGGATATGTCTGCTAAAGTGTGCAAAAAGAGAGGTCATGGCTAAAAATACGCCAATTGGTTTTTAAAGCTAAGCACGTTCTGTGTGTCTGGGATCTGAACCAGTTTTAATTATGTAAGACATGCATAGAAATTCTGTAAAACTCCGCACAAATCTGTTGCTTATCATAAGAGAACCCACTAGCATCTTTTCCGAGTACATACTTAGTAATTAAATGACCAGGCTCATTCTGTCCAGCCATCTTGAATGACTGTATTTGCTTTTGGGTGCGTCTACACAGCGGGATTATTTTGGAATAACAGCTGTTATTCTGAAATAACAATGCGAGTGTCTACACAGCAATTCTGGTATTTCAAAATAAATTCAAAATAACAGACAGCTTATTCCGACTTCTGTAAATCTCCTTCCACGAGGAATAACTCCTATTCCGAAATAGCTATTTCAGAATAGCTGTAGTGTGGACGCTGCACTGCTGTTATTTCAGAATAGCTCCTCCCCTAGGCCATTCAAAGTAATTACACCCCAGTGCTTCCTGGGGTTCTTAATCAAGGTAGCGCATCCACATTAGGGGAGCCTGCCTTGGACTAATTTTGAGGCTTCCCTGTAGTAGATGTGCTAATTCGAAATAAGCTATTTTGGAGTATTTCTTCTGCAATAGCTTATTTCAAAATAAGTGTGCTGTGTAGACGTACCTTTGTGAGTAGGATTAGTCTGAGGAGTGAAGTGTGTGTGTGTGTGTGTATCTAATTTATGGTTACCCAGAGTCTGGCAGTGGTAGCCATATCTGCGATAGCTCTGATTGAACTAGTGTGCTAAAAACAGCAGTATAGCTGCAGCGGCACGAGTGATGGGACAGTTTAGCCACCGGGGGCAGACTTGTGATTTCAAACATAGCTGTACTCGGGGCAGCTAGCTCATTGTGCTGCCATGGTTGTACTTCTACGCCTAGCCTGTAGCTTGGTTAGAGGTGGTGCGGATAGCTTTAGCGAAGCTGGCAACTCACCGTCCGGGTTCGGTATCTGCTTTAGCAGTACGACACGTTCAGAGGTGTTGTGGGGGAAGAGGGATGTGCCCACATGTAAGGGTGGAATATCACTGAAACAAACCTATGCTACCCATTTCCAAATCAGAGAAGGCTGGAGATGTTGGGCCAAAAGGGACCTCAAGAGGTCATCACATCCAGCTCACTGTACTGAGGCAAGGCCAACTAACCCTCCACCATCCCTGACAGGTGGTTGTCCAACCTGTTCTTAAACTTTCCAATGACGGGGATACCACCACCTCACTTGGGAGCCTGGCCCAGAACTTAACTACCCTTCCAGCTCCAAAGTTTTCCCTGGTATTTAGCCTAAATCTCCCTTGCTGCCAATTGAGCCCATTGCTTCTTGTCCTACCTTGCATAGACATGGAGTCCAATCAATCACCACTTTCTTTCTAACAGCCCTATATTGGAAGCCTGTTATCAGCTCTCCCATCTTTTCAACCTTTCCTTATGGGTCAGGGTTTCTAAACCTTCTTTATCATTTTAGATGCTCTCCTTTGAGTCTCTCCAAATCGTCCATTTTTCTTAGTGTAGTGCCCAAAGATGGATGCAGTATTGCAGCTGAGGCCCCAGCAGTACTATGTCGAATGGAACACCTACCTGTATCCTACATATGACACTCCAGGAGGATATTGGCTTTTTTCCCCAAATTGGATAAGAGTCATCAATGTGATGCAGATGGGAAAAAGGCCAATATCGTTCTGGGGTGTATTAACAGGAGTGTCATATATAAATTCCCAGTCCCCCAGAAGTGTCACTCTGACCCATCGCCCACCAATGCTTCTTGCTGTGAATGATCTTCCTGTAGAACCACATCTCTCTGTTCTTTTGCAGGTCGTTTAGTTGGAGCAGAAGGTCCTTGCAAGATTTCTTCACCGGTAAGTGCTGTACCTTTTCCCATGGTCCTATTACTAGCTGGTGTTAGAGCATCTGTTTGTTATGCTCTGTGCATTTGTGTGTGTGATGGTGCTGGTTGTTCACTCTCCTACACCGGAGTAACACTAGTGCAACGAACAGACTCACATCAGTGTGCTGAGGATAGAATGAGGCCCACCAAATACACTGCGTGGCACAACCCAACCCTGGTGATTGTGGGCTGTTGATGGGACATACAGCAAATCAGAAAATGAATCTTGATGGTTGGGTTCTGAAATTGATATCTGTTAATTTTAGGGTTTTTTAAGGCAATAAAGAAAAATATTGTGGGTCTGCTCTTCCCCTTACACGCAGGAGTTCCGTGCTGGTACGGCCCCTGACTTTGGTAGTGGTGTTGCTGACTCACACTGATGTAATCGGCCCTTGACTGTTCACAGGCTCTGCTTTACATGGCGGTGTGTGTAAAATCAGCGTACAAGCATGTGTCTGTGTGCTGCTGGGCCACCGATTCCTCCCCTGTGACATTTAAAACAAATACGAATGTGTGCACCGTGTAAGTGCAGCGATGTCTGTTCCATGATAAAATGGTCTGTTACCACTAGTGTTGCATGTCTGTGTAATCTTCAAAGGGAACTGGCGTGGGCACCCTCCATTCTGCTTGGCCACATTTTGATGGACGGAAACTAGAAACTTCAATTCAGTAATTGACGTGGTGATTTAAATAAATGCTGGGATGCCTCTAAATCCTCCTAGCAGACAGAGTGTCCCTAAGGGCTAGATTGGGAGGACCTTTTCAAAGATCAGAAGGCAAAGTGTGATGTAGGAGTAGAGCAGCATTTCCCCTCAGGGCCTTGCACCGGAGCAAGGTTTAGTTAAAGAACAAATGGAGCAGTTTTGGGTCTGTAAGAAAATGTGAAAAGTCAAAGAGGCAGGAGACCTGGTTTTACCTGCATTGGATAAGTTGATGTTGTCATTTGTAACCTTTCCGGAGATGGGCTTATTTCAGACCTGCCTTTACAGATGCTCTTCCGCAGCTACCTCGTCCCTGTATTTGTTTTCCATTTGTTATACAAAGTGCAGTAGCAAATTACACATGAAGTGTATTAAGCCTGGCCACTTTCCTATCAATTCTGGACTTGTCGATTTCAGCCAGAGAGGGACTTGGCTAAACTTTAAAAATGAAAAATCACTTTATTAAAAAAAGGAAAAGCATCTGAGGTTCTTAAAAATACAAAAATGGTGTGAGAAATGCTGCTATTTCAATGAAAGGCGGCGTTTCTAATACTAAATGTCCAAAGTCACTTGATATTTAGGAACTATTGGAAGGCACGCAAATGACATATAGGTACATTTTTAATGTATAGAAGTTTTTATAGTATATTTAAGTGGCAGCATTCGTTTTATTAATAGCACAGGCTATAATGAGGAATTCTGGCTAACATGGAGAGTTATTTATTTTGCAGAGTAACTAAACCTAATGATAGAGCAAAGTTAAAAAAAGAAATGTTTACATATGGGCATGACTTCCCTGTAGAGAAAGGAAAAGATGAGGGAAAACTCTATTGAAGCTCGTTTCTGTGCTTTGGGAACTAGCAACAGGGAAGATGTGTGCTTCTGCTCTGGGGACCGTATGTGAGAAGGTGCATGTCAAAGTCGCCCCCTGTCCTGGATGCAAATGAGCAAAGTGAATTCTGGGTAACATGGAGGGTTAATAGGAAATTCAGAGGAATATTTGTGGGAAATTTCTTACCTGCAATCACTGGCTGAATACTAGAGCAGTGGGCCTGTTCATATGTAATATCTCCCAAATCCCTATTCAACAATGAAACAAACCCTAGAGGCCTTAGTGAGTATTCATACTGCATCCCACGTGACCACCCTGCAGCAGCAGTGTGCATGGTAACCACCCACTAAAGGTGTTCTCTGCTGGGCTAAACCGAGACAGAAGTGGGGCCCACGTGCCCCAGAAGCATTCCAGACCTCCAACATCTCACATTCCTCACTTTGAGCCACCTCCTCCTTCCATTCCGTTCTGTGCCCCGCCGCTCACCATGAGAAGTGGGGTGCTCTGCTGTTCTACTGCTTTGCATGGATTCAGTGGCCTCCTTGCAGGGCATCTTGTTGTCTCTACCCTGCTCTGCTGGCCTGTTGTTGGGGGAAGCATGGGGTAGTATGCACATGGGGGGAGATGGGGGACACTGGTATGGAAGGAGGGGAAAATTGGGCACACTGAGCCCCTTGAGGGGGCCATAATATGGGCAAGGGGGACCACAGAGCCTCTATTGTGGGGGGATGGGGAGACCCTGGCAAGGGGAGGGAATGGGGGAAACAAAGAGACTCCCTGGCATAAAGAAGGTCTGGGGGTTGCAGGCAGGGGGATGGGAGGATGCAAGGAGCCCCTGGTGTGTGATGTGAGCTCAGCCCACACAAGCTGCAAAGTGCAGGACTCTTCCCCTCCCCCAGTTTAGCCATCCAGTAAATATCTCAGGACAAACACGTCTTCCGCAGCCGCACACCCGCTGTCTGAGGGGCTGGATTTGCACAAGCACAGCAAGCACGTGCCTGGGACCCGGATTCATGGTGGAGGGCCCCAAACTGGTGCACAGACAGAAAGAATTTCACTTCCCTGCGTGCGTAGCCCTGCGACCTGACGTGTGGGGCGGCAGGGCCACTCACATTTAATCCAGCTGTCCCTGTGCCATGCTTGGTCTCTGCCCACTCACGCCAGTGGGGCAGCTGGCCGGATCTGAGCAGCATTGCTGCCCCGCACGTGCCAGGCACAATGCCACCCGCGAAAACGGGCGTGGCTTTTTCCCTGGGGGCAGAAATCTGTTCCAATGGGGGAGGGGCAATGGCTTCTCCCTGCCCTCCCCCCCCAGTGTGTGTTTCCTTAGCCCCTAGGACGGGTTAAACCAGCCCTGGCTGTCAGTGCTTCATAGATGCCAGTCACCAGTGGAGAGGCTGTGCTGCACAGCTGGCAGGGAGGTGAGGGGGTGTGTCGGAGAGGGGCAGGGTCTATCAGAAAGAGGCAGTGGGGAGCAGAGGGGAAGGAGGGGTGCTTCGAAGCGGCAGCGCCACATGGAGCCTGGGGTCAGACGCTTGGCTGTTCACGGTGCTGCTGCTTTGAAACACTGCGTGCGGTCTGACGCCGGGCTCCTCGCGCCGTTTCAAAGTGGCAGCACCACACGGAGCCCTGGGTCAGTGGGGGAGTCCCCAGCTGACCCTGGGCTCCATGCAGCGCTGCCGCTTTGAAACGCCGTGGGGTGCACAGGGCCAGTGGGAGACTGCCCCACCACCCTGTGCTCCCCGCAGTGCTTTCGCCTTTGACATGTAGCAACAGCCCTAGGGCTGCATCGCCTATTCGATTAGTCAATCGAAATATAACATCCCTCGGCAGGGCTGAAGAGAGAGGGACTCCAGCTTGTTACAGGGATATTCTGCAGCCAGCCAGCAGCAGAACTGGCTCAGCTAGAGGCTGTTGGCACCATCCTCTGCATGCGAGAGCCCCCCCACTGCGGTGGAGCCTTGAATCCCGGTGCTAAGAGGATCCAGTTTTAATCTGCCTCTGAGTCTGCTTTACTCAGAAAGCCTGTTAGCGGCAGATGATAGGTGTGTTAGCTCAAGTGCCCGGCTTGTTTCACTTTGATAATCATCCCTTAAAAATATGGGTCGCCAGGCACTGCTTATGGAGGAGTGGGTAAGGCCAGGCTGTGAGGCAGGACTCCTGATTCTTTTCCTGGCCTTGCCACTGACTGACTGTGGCTAACTCCCTTCAGATCACGTATTCAACAGGCGTGTCTCTAAGTCAAGGCCCCCGTCTCTTCCGGAGGTGCTGAATACCAGCAACTCCCAGTCCCTGTGACGTCAATCGAGGTGTCCTTGACTAGGATAAATCCTGTGGCTGATAAGCTGCTTGCTGAACCTGCTTCACTAGGTTAGTTCTGTTGCCTTCGCTTCCCCCTACCTGGAACTTGGTACAGACCGATTCCTGGGCCTTCTCCTGAGACGTTATTAGCACTTTTTTCAAGGCAAACAGTGTTTATCTAGTGACATCAGACCAGCAAACTGCTCAATAAGATGCTGTTGGCTAGTGGGGAAGAGGCACCGGATGATGGGAGGGGAGCAAAGATTTCGTCCGCATTCCTTCCTTGGTTTCAGCGGGGTGTGCCGTCGAATTTCTCTCTCTTCCAAAGAAGGCCTTTTTCCTTTGTGCTCATGGGGTGCGGAACGCAACACCTTTAACCCAGAGCATGGCCGAAGGGTTTAGACACAAGTGTGGCAAGGAGCGGGAGAAAGGGTATTGAGAAGGAAGTCATGTGGAGAGTGTGGGGGCCGACAGCCTCGCTGGGCCCTGTGGAAGGTGGGGGGAGGCCTGGCTCCCAGCTCCCCAAAGGGGAGAGGCTTTGGGAGGGAGGAGCAGGGCTGGGGACAGCCAGACAGCCCCCATGCCGCCCAGAGCGTACCATGACACATTCCTCTCTCCCCCACCCCGGGAACCCTCACAGCTGCCTGGAGCGCCCCACGTCGGCACCGATTACTGGGCCCGGGGCTCCAGCTGCCACTGCTGGAGCTGTGGTGGTTGGAACCTCAGAACAACTGCCCTGCCTCCCCTTCAGCAGGCTTGGGAGAGAGAATGTTACTTTTATGGTTGGAACCTCAGAACAACTGCCCTGCCTCCCCACCGTCAGCAGGCCTGGGAGAGAGAATGTTACTTTTGCTCCCAAGACCCCATTGAAATGGTAACCCTCAAATAAGGGGGTGGGCCAGATTTAGCTCTCAGATAAACCCGCTGACTTCGCTAGTTACCCAGATCTGCTCTTGCGTAGCCAAGGCTTAAATTAGAGACGTAAAATCCCATTTCATCAGGGCTAAACGTTATGTCTAGCTGATTAACCGCTTAAACGGGGGCGGGCAGGGGCTGCTTCAGCCAGGCTAGAGCGCCCCCTGCCTGCGGTGGGCCCCACTGAGCTAGAGAAGCCCCTGCCCGCAGGGGTGGGAGGAC